GGCCATGCTTCATAACTTTTCTTTCCTTTTAGTAAACATGCAGAAAATTATACAAGTTGTAAGTTTACAGCTCAGTGAATTTCACAAAGTTAACAAGTTCATGTAACTAGAATCCAGACCAAAATGACAAAACCTTGACATCATCCTAGGAATTCCACTTACGGCTCCTTTTAGGCATTATACCCCCAGCCTTCTGAATTTTAACACCATAGATTGTGTTTTTCTGTTCTTGAACTTTACGTCAACGAAATCTTGCATTGCATGTATTTGTGCTGTCTTGTTTCTTTTGTTGAACATGATTTATGAAATACCCATGTTGTTGCATGCAACCTTAGTTCTTCATTTCTGTATGGTATTCCATTGTAGAGTCCCAAGTAATTGATCCTCTCAGATACTGATGAATATATACTGCTGCTGTTTTTGGAATTATACAAGTAGTACTTTGATAACTGTTCTTGGGCATGTCTTTTATTGAACATATGCACAATCTGTTGGTTATATACCGAAGAGTGAAACTGGGGGAAGGGTCATAGGGTATGCATACGGTTAGCTTTAATAGATACTTTTCCAAAAGTTTTCCAAAGTGGTTGTACCAATTTATGTTCTCACCCACTAAGAGTATATAGGAATTTGTTTTTCCAAATCCTTAAAAACACTTAATATTGACTTTTCATTTTAGCCATTTTGGCTGTGTGCAGTTGTATCATTTTGTGGTTTCAATTTGCATTTGCCTTATGACTAGTGATGCTGAGCACCTTTTTATGCTTGCTGGCCATTTGGATAGGCTCTTCTGTGAAGTGCCTGTTCAAGTCTTTTGCCCCTTTTTCTACTGGGTTTTCTGCCTTTTCATTGTAGAAAATCTTTATGTATTCTGGATAGAATTGTCAGATAATATATAGAGATTACATATTTTCTTTCACTTTGTGGCTTACCCTTTTTCTCTCTTAATTCATACTTTTTGAGGAAAAATTAAGTTTAATGATCTCCAATTTATCAGTATTTTCTCATTATGACTAGCACCTATTATCAGTTTAAGAAATCTTTGCTTATCACATAAATGTGAAGACATTTTCCTATGTCTTTTTCTGAAATCTTTTACTTTGCCTTCCACTTTTGGATCTGCAATTCATACAGAATTGATCTTTGTGAGTATAAGGAAGGTGTCAATATTTATTTTATCCATGTGGGTACTTAAGTGACCCAGTGTCATTTTACAAAGCTTTTTTTCCCTACACTGCATGCTGTCCTCACACTGAAAATATGTCACCTTTGACATAAATTACATCACAGGTTACCAAATATGTGTGGGTGTCCTTCCAGTCTTTTCTATTTAATGTCTACGCTTGTGCCCACAGCACATTGTCTAGTTACAGTAACTTTATAATACATCTTGTTATCTGCCAGTGTTAATCATCTGCAAGATTGCTTGGATTATTCTTGGATTCTTGCATTTCCATGTACATTTTAGAATCAGCTGATTAATTTCTGTAAAAAAAAGTTATAATTTTTATTGGGCTTACATTTAATCTCTTGACATCTTAATATATTGAATCTTCTAATCCATGAAACTCTACATTTATCTTCTTTCTCTCAATCATGTTTTCAGTATAGAAGCTTACATATCTTTCATAATTTTATATCTATATTCATAAGGGATTTTGGTAAGTAATTTTCCATCCTTTTATCACCTTGTTGGGTTTTGGAATGAGGATTATACTGGCTTCATAAAATATGTAGAAAAGTGTTATATCTTCTTTTTACTACTTCCTGGGAGAGTTTGAATGAAATTGGTTATTTTTTCCATAAATATTTGAGGAATTTCATAGTTTCGTTGTTGTTAATTAAATGAGCTATTACATCTAAAGCACTGAGGAAGTACCTAGCATTTAATAAATGCTCTAAAATGCTAGCTATCCTTCTGTGCTTGACTGTCCATTTTCCCCATGTAAATCACTACATTAACACACCAGAACAGCAGGGTAGACTTTCTACAGAGACCTACATAAAGAGATAATGTGCTTTAAGCCATTCTTTAGATGTCACCTTTTAACATTCACCCGATGATCAATTGAGTACTCATAATATTTTCAGAAGATATTCTATTTTGATTTCCCAGCCACTTTACTCCCATAAAAGTCGAATTACTACTACACAAAAGAGAGGTGGGTTTCAACAGAGCACAGTTTTAAATGATACAGATCACTCCATCTTGTACTCATAAAGGATTTTTTGTTACTAACAGGTGCACACTGAGTTCATGAAACATCTACCTTTTTCCCTTAATAATTCCAGGCACCTTCCATTCTGAGTTCTTGTGCTCTCTCCTTTCCTTCTAGTGGAATTTTTCAAGGGGTACCTCCATGTGGTCTCCATTTTCCTAGGTCCACTCATTTCTCAACTCAAATCTGGTTTCCTTTCCTACCACACTACAGAAATGACTCATCGCCAAGATCCCCACAAGTTGCCATGCCACTAAATAAAGGTCTCTGTGCTGTCCTCAACTGAAGTGATCTCAGTGGTATGCACTATGGACCACACCTGCTTTCTCTACCAACTGAATTGACACACTCTACCAAATGAATTCTATGACAGTATATGCTTACTGCTTTTTCTCTTATTTAATATTTTCTATTTAGCCTTAGTGGACTCATCCTTACAGAACTTTTTCAGTGTGGAGTCAATTTCTTGAAGCAAATGGCTTCAATCATTTCTATGAATGTTGGCCCTTATGTATATCTCCTTCAAGTAGTGTATTTCTTTTCTCGGCTCCATATCCATATATTGTTAACTCTTTGAGATCCCCATTTAGAGGCTTCTCAGGTACCTCATATTCAACATTGTCTAAAACTGGGCTCATGCTATTCTTCTCATGGCTGCTCCTGTAATTCTGTCTTAGCAAACACCATACCATCTTCCTGGACCCCAAGATGAGAACACTGAGTGCCATCTTGGAACTCTACTCTCTCCTTTACCCCATGGTCAAGCAACTGAGAAGTCCTACTCATTTTTCCTCCTAACCATCTCACGATTTCACCTGTAGTTTTTTTCCATTGACACTATTTGAAGGTCCAGGTGACCATCAATTTATCAAGATTATTCAAATTAGCTCTTCTCTGAACATTCACAATTGCTGGTCTACCCACTGCAGCCAGAATACTCTTTTTAAAACTTGAATCTGCAAATGTCATGCCACTTTTCAAAAGTATCTGTTTCATGTCTGTCTCCACCAAGGGAATGCAGTCTGTTTTGTTCAGGTAGATCATCAGTGTTCCATATATGTTCATTAAATGATAAATGACAAGAAAAAAAAAATTTTTTTAACCGTGCACAAATATATTTTCCTGTGATATGTATGTAGGTAATGACTTCTCCAATATAAGACATCATTGAAAAGTTTATAGTTGACATGGTCAAAGCTTATAATAATATCACACAGTACGAGCTGTGTGTTTAATACAAGAAATTACTTCCTCTGATAGACCACACTAATCTACCCATCTCAGCGCTCTGTATACATGAAAGGGCAGAGAAGAAAAGTTGACTATAACCCAATCAATTAATCAGGTATTTCCTGAGTGTCTTTTAGGTGCCAGACAGGATGGTCTACCCAGTGGAGGACAGAGGGAATCAAGGCCTCTGGTAATGATGAGCTATAGCAGAATATGGCAAATGCCAGAAAGATATGAAAGATGTGGGGGAGGGGGTGCAAGAGAGAAGGGTAGACTCTAACTCAGCCAAGGAAACAAAAGAAATCCTATTTGGGGCAGGAAACTTCTGAAAATTTTAAAAGATGGTAAAATTTATTTGGACAGAAACTTGTGAGAAAGTATTCCTAGTGAAAAGAATAGTCGGAATAAGGATTAATCTGGTGTAATGTAATTGGTACCATCGCCATGTCTTGTAAGAGGTATTGGAGGCCTTGGCTTAGGGGGTGGTGATCAGAAATGGACAAGACAGAAATGGACAAGATAACATGGCAACACTGGATCTACAGATTTATGGAGGTGGGGGAAAAAAAAAAAACATAAGAAACAAAAAAGGGGATGCCCAGTGATTCCTAGCCCAGAAAATGCCAGTGCCAGTAAGGGAAATAAGGAAGCTAGGACACTATGGGTTTAAGGGTCCTGAACACACAGAGGGAGAGATAACAGAATTTCTGACCCACTGAGGTAGAGGTGCCTAAAGACATCCAGTCAGAGCTGGAAATGGGAGTGTGAGGTTTGAGAAGAGAATCAGGAGAGCTTGGCTAAACTTCAACATTCCTACTAAATTATCTTTAATTATCATACTGAAACCATAATCCATAAATTTTATCTAAAGAGCATTCTGGAATCTCGTATGAGTTTGATTACTTGTATAAATCTTCACATTTCCCTTACAACGAACATTTTTAACGTTCAAAGTCTACTTAATCAATTAACAATTGTTTTCCACTTACAGTTTATTAAAGGTTGATTCAGTCCTGCTCTTGGTAGCCCAGCTGCTGTCTGTGTCCTAAACTTAATGCTCAGAATTCCCATTGGGCTGCAGAGGGAATAAGTCTGACTAATGATGCCTTCTTGTTGGACAAATTATTTCATTTTGAAATTGTATAGGAAAGGAACAACAATAAAGTATCAGTTCCACTTTTAAATAAATAAGGGGTTATTCTGCTGCTGAGAGTTTTCATTCAAATGACTGATCAGATCTCACATGTCTGTTTAAAAATGTCTGACTTAGGTCGTTACAAAATGACAGACTGTGATAAACTACATGATAGTTGGGAGTGAGACAATGAGGCATTGTTTACACAGAAGATTGAGTAACTGGTTTAACAAAAGAGGTTTTTGGATATCTATTGTATGTACAACTAAGAGATTTACTGGAGCTTTTATAATTTCTGCAAGGCTCTTTTCCAGCCAGCTTCATTAACTTGAAGCAAATCAAATCATGCAGAAATCTGGCTCAGCCAGAAAGAAAACCAGGAAGATATAATATGAAGAAAAACAGACACGGGATGATAAGGTTTAGAATCTTTGGCATTTTTCATAAACATTTTGTTTGAAGATTATTAAATTACAGCCCAGAGAGAAAAAAAAAATAAAACTATTAAATCAGGTCTTTTTACCTCAACTTTTCTTTACAATACACACACACACACACACATATATATATATATGTTATATATAAAACTGCACAGAGTATGTGTCAACAAAATACAGTCTTTACAACTTAAATATCATTTGAACAGAAGGATATTTGCGTGTATTTTATATATGCATAAAATCGGGGTTTTTACTTGGGGGTACTATGAAATGGTGGGGTCTGAAGTAATCAGCTGTTTTTTAAGACGACCTTGGGGTAGTGCTTTTCAAGGAATGGGGTTCTGAGATATATATGCATTATGTGTAGCTTATCTTGCTCAGGAACAAAAGATCAATTTGGACGGCTGAGTTATTTTTACTTTCTGCTCAAAAATGCGGGCAAATACAGTGGTTATGACAATCAGGTAAAGCAGCCATAAATTAGTCCCTTGCTCCTCAGCCTTTCTCCGTCTTCCTAAATACTTTCAGAATTCATTCATTCATCCCCCTCTCTCTGAAGCTCTAATATTGACATTCTATTTTGGAAATAAGCGAAGTCCAGTCAGAAGATATGGCGTTTGTAAGGTAACCAAATACTCTCATGTAACCTTCACTTTTTGGATGAATGGTCCCTTTGGACCTTTGCAAGGCTTCCACTGCCTGCAACGGACTGCCATACACACTGGCATCCAGCACTGGGGAGCTGACTGCCATTGTCCACACACGTCTTCAGTAATCATGGCGCAGGACTCCCAAAGGCTTGTGCTAATCCTGGTAATTATTAAAAAATCTACTTATAAGAGACACTCGTTGGGGAGATGATGCTACTACCAGAGACCTGTGAACTCAAGAGAAAGAAATGGACTCACATGCCCGATAATCTGAAAGGAGTGTGCAAACGCGAGAGGAAAAAACTGAATCTTAAGGAGAATCTGTTGGAGGTAGGAAAACAAGTTCGGAGTCACACTTGCATCCAGGTGGTCTCCCAGCCATTCTCGAGGAGGTTGTTCAGACCCCTGGCCACCTTACTTTACCTCCTATTTGAGAAGGGACCTCAGTCTTCCACGGTCGCTAGATTGTTTCCTTCTGACGGGCCAAGCCGCTAAGCAACCAGCACACCCATGCGTGTGTGGATGTGAGCACATGGGTGTGCATTGGCGCACGTGGAGAAGCAGGGAGAGTACAGGGAGGGCTCCACGCATTTCAGAATAACACCATGGGTACCACCCCGGAAACAGAGAGTGTTGGTCTAATCAACCCAACAGGGAATCGGGTGCTGGTGCCCAAGGCTGGCGTGGGTCCTAGAGAGCGCTGCGCTTCTTCCGAAGGGGGCTCTGGCTGCTGCAGAGTTTCAATTCTGCATACTGCACCTGTGAAAACAAACAGACGGGCCGCCGGTGGTTAGGTAACCCTAGCTCACCACAGTGTGTTAATGGCTCCCCAAGGACAGACCGAGGCAAAGGAAGGAAGGTTCAAAGGTAATGAATCATTTTCTAAACACAGGAACATGGAGGGATTAATTGCAGGAAGGATTTGAGAAGTCATGCATCATTTCTTGAGACCAAAATATTAAAAGCAGATTTTTCTAATGAGATGCATGGGTTTCTACCTGCTCTTGGCACTGCAAGATAATTTTAGTTGTGTGTGTGCCCGTTTTCAACCGCAAGTACGCTTAATAATTGCCTCTTGGGAATGTATATCTTAGTATATGATACAGCAAAACTTACTAAGAAATATTCATTTGCAACTAAGTCTTGGGGGAAGAATTCTCTGTAAATTATATAATACATTTATGTTGCTAGGGAGAGGGAAAAAAATGTTGACATTGATACCGGCCACAGAGTTAAATAGATTTCTCTTAAAAATGAATTGCATTTACAATGGAATGGCTAAAACATCTGTGATAAATATGAGCACTCGGGGAGTCCCCAGTGGAAAACTGTCTATTGTGTTATTCGAAAGTGCTCTTGGGGATACATGGAGGATCTTACTAGCATACTATACATCTTCCTCGAATGCTCTTTTGTAGCGTCCCTCTGTATTCATGTCCACTCCAACTGGATGGCTGCTCGGAGAGGTGGTGCCTGGACTATGTAGAGACAATCCTTGTGGTAGGGTGTGCTGGATGATGATTTCCTTTCTTTGACAAACTCACATTGCAGCTCAAGTGATGCAAGTGATGCAACTCACTCTCATTTGGTGTGTGGGTTTTGATTGGCTGACAGTGGAATGGCTTCATTTAAAGTATTGTATTACAGACCACATGTGCTTACTGGTTTTTAGCATTTGTGTCAAACTCCCCAAGGACACCATGCCCCATCACATATGTTGAGCTACACTTCGTCAAAAGCAGATACATGCAAAAAAGCACCCTTTCCTCAGAGTGTTTGGTGAAGGTCCCCTAGGGGAGCAGGGAATGACATACCTGTCAATCTTCAATGCAAAACAAACAGGGGCCAGGTTACTATTTTATAATCATGTAATGCAAATGTTAACGAGGAACCTCATATTCATAGAATGCATGTAATAGCTAATTATATCATAAAATGGAGATTAAAGAAAAACGGCGTCATGAAGTCTATTTTAATCTCTAGAACTCAGAGTGAAGGGGAAAGAAACTGTAGGTCTTTTCAGCCCGAGTCACTGCCATTGCCCAAGAGCCGCCGTGACAGCGGCCCAAGGATGAAAATCAATACTTGATTTGGATTCTCTCAGATAATAAAGGGTTGTGTCTTTGATCATCATGTTGGTATTTTACACCATGGTCTCCCCATCTACTCCTTCTATGATCTCTATTCTCCTTGAGAGATATCAATGCCTCCCCTCCTTCCTCTGGATTTATAGCCGTCTGATCTGCAGGGGCCTGGCTCGGGCTACTCTACAGGACTTTTTTGCCTGGTTTATTTATTTATTGTTGCCTGGTTTAATCTCTATGCATCCACAGAGACCAGATGCCACTGGACTAAGTGACCATTACCTGTGAATAATACTTCTGATCGATCTCCAATTATTTCACACCGTCTCTGCCTCTATGTGTATGAGAGTGGGTAGGAGCTTTGCCCTCGGCATCCCTAAGTCTTCGGGGGGGAAGGTATAGAAGGGAAGCCTAGGACATAATTGGGGCAAGCAATAATAAAAAAGAATAACCCTCTTGTCCCTTACTTCCCCTAAAATGCCTGCCATCTGGAAGAGGAGGAAAATAAGCAATCCTCCCCTAGCTTGGGATCTCCCACTCTCCCACTCACTGAGCCCATCTTATCCTCCTCAGGGAGGCAAGTGATCAAAAAATGGACAAACACCATCGCACCATACCCACATAGTGTGAGTTCCAGATCCTTCTTAAGTAGCCCTTTTTTGGGGGTAATTTTCCATAATCATCTCATGCTCTGGACAAAGGTTTTCCTGCCACCTTCCTGCAAGCCAGGCCTCTTTAAGGATTTTCTGGCGCATTATCTCAATTACACAAGAACAGCCCTGTGCTCTTCAGGCTCCGAGGATGGCCAGACTTCAGTGCTGGGGTCCCCGTTGGTGGTGACCGTTCATTACGTACCTTTTGAACATCAGATGGTACCCTGGAGAGGAAGTCTAGCAGCTCATTATTGTCGATGGCATAGGGATTTCGAAGCTTCTTCGTAAATTTATTTATGCCTGAAAAATAGAAACACAGGGAGATCTCTTTGTCTATCTGTCTGCCTATCTATCTATCTATCTTTAAAAACTCTCCTGACTGGGGGAGGGGGAGATTCACAAGCAAAAATTAGTGTAAAACAATTACTAGACCTCAAGTCACACACACACGTCACTGTCATGTGGAATACTCACAAATGCCTTTTCTGAAAGGAAGGAGGGGTGGGGGTGATTCTGTGGGACAGGAGTTCTGCCATCTTCAACTGTGAAAATCCCATTACAATCCCAGCAGCAGGATGGCAGAAACACACACTAAAACCGTGGAGCTCATTGGCTTTTTTGGACTAGGCTGATTAACAGCCTCCTCTGCTAGGAAAACAAACATCCCAGATGGGAAAAGGCCTTCATTAGCCCCAACAAGTCTCTGCTTGGGGGCTCTGGACCAAATGTAGCAGTAGGAGGTGGAGGGCGGGAGTCGCTTTTTTGTTGTTAAAAAGAAACTGCAGAAATCTCTCTCCCCTACTCCAGCTCATTTTCACAGGTTTCTCTTCTCTCACTGCAGAACAGAACTTGACGTGTTGATTGTACTTTGATGCTGCAGGAAACTGTGAAAAGTTATTACTGGAAATCATCTTACTATGGCTGCTAACTTAATTTATGGACCGCGACACTGGTGCGTGGGTTTGTCTAGTCAATGGAGTCCCTGCTAATTTAGGATGGGGACAGTGGTAATTAGAGGAGGTTCAACCCTTAAAGTGTCTTTGATGGCTGCACTTTGGGTGTGCGGGCATGCCCCGGGCAAGCTCCACCTGTGGTTTCCTCTCTAGAGGGATGTACCTCTCAGCCACCTTTGTGTCTCCTCCTCTGTTCCTCCCAGCTGCTGGTAAGAGCTCAGGAGCTGTTGTCTTTCCTCCAAAGGTCAACTCTTTCTCATGCTGAGTTTTCCAAGCAGAAAGAGTAAGGTGGTGGGCTTCTGAAGTTCTGCCACAGAGTGCTTGTTTAGCGAGGATCATACCTGAAGCCCTGGTGATGCTGAATGAATTCTCACCTTAGATGAACCCTGACTGACTCTTCCCTCAAAGTCAAGGTAATTTAACTGTTTGACAGTCCCCAGCCCATAAAAGCTTTGCTGTTTTTCTTCATTAAATATTATTTTGCTTTCATCTAAGGATGGAACTTTCTGAGTGATATTATACCTGAGTCATTTCCTTAGAGGGTCAGATTTATATCTGCTTTGCAAATGGGAGCTGGCCATTGTTCATGAGTAAAATGGTGGCCCGGTGGTTGGGCTGGGGAAGGCTCCTTACAAATGATCCTTTTTCTCTCAAGTCAAAGCTGCACTCTGCTTTTCTTCTCTCTACCCCCCACAGCAAGCTTCATGTTTCTAGCTAAAATTTCCCCCAGCGTTCCTTTAAACTAAAATACTCTCACTGTGTTATTCTAAAGATATTTAATTGTAGCATGGGCTTTTTGGCAAAAGAAAACAGACAAGGCAAAATGATGAAGGGAGACAAAGACTTATTGAGAAAAGATATATCTTCTATTGTTAATTATATATAGTGTGCGCATCTGGAGTCTTTACAATGAACAGCAAGGCAGGGATAATCTCACAGCCGATCAAAACACTGCATTCTTAGTCACTGAGAAGATTATAAACCTGCACAGTAGCTCAAATACACCAATAAGGGCAGAAGTGGCCCACAATGCACTGAGATTGTCTGTTTGAAAAACTTAGTGAGAATCAAAATTATAAGCCGCTCCGATTACATGCTTCAAAAGCACACCTTACTTTTTTTTTATGTTGTCAAATGTCAGTAATTCTACAATATTATCTACTGTGTGAGACCAAGTGTCCATGGGGGCTCATGTACTCCTGGGTCCTCAGTAAGGGGCAATGGGTCAAGGAACAAGGGCTATGGAACAGGAATAGCTGGGCCCCAGCTCTGGCATCACCAGGCATCCGCTGTGTGGGTTTAGGCAAACCACTGGACCTTCCTGTGCCTCATATTTCCTACATTAAAATCTGAATAATAAAGACCTGAGCTATAGAGTGTCCTAGGTTGATGGGAGAATCACATGGACAATGTAAGCATGGGGATTCTGTAATTTGGAGTTCCATAACAATGAGGGAGGGCTACCATCATTACTCGAGATGTCAATAAGCCAAAAAACAAAGGGGGGAGAGAAGAATCCCTATACTATATGGCATGTGAGTACACACCCAAATTTGGAAGTTGTACCTTTATCAGCGTGACAGACACGCCTTTCAATATTTTTAACCTAAATGCAGATAGGCAGAGGGTCTATCTGCTCTGGATTTTAATTTTTTAGCACACCCAAAGAAGTGGGATCCAAATACCAAGGGATAACATTTGGCAAAGACACTGTCATTTAATGGTCCCAGATCACAGATTAAACCGATCAGTGGAATAGAATGAGCAATCCAGTTTAAAAAAAAAAAAAAAAAGAATCTCTTGGAGAAAGTTGGAAAAACTGCATGACTGCTTTGCACATATGGCCACAGGTGAACAAACACTTGAAACAGAATTATAACACTATTTTTCAGATACTTGTATGAGTGCCTAGCATGTAGCCCTGACCTCAGTACATTGACGAGAGTGTTGAGATGGGGCAGAGGGTCCTTGCTTGCTCATGTATCAAACAGTTAAGTGCTTGCCACATAAAAGACATTGTGCTATCAAATGGAGATACAAAGTTAAATAAGTCATGGGTCTTCTTTCCAAGAAGTTCATAATCCAGCTTGGTGAGTTCTACCTACCTTGGAACAGAAGTATCCCAGATCAGAACTGAACCATCTATGCTGGAGAACAGAATGAAAGGAATATGGGAAACCTCTTAAAAGGGGCAGAAAACCCTCATGGGATCTAATCTTAAGAAGTGCCTTGCCTTCTAGAAATACATCAGATAGGTGCTCAAAATTCAGTAGATATGGTCTCCTTCAGAAAATGTCAAATATCCCTCTTAAGCCACCTCTCACATCATTTTCAAAATCTACACTCCCACACAAGAGAGGTGGGTGTTGGGCTCAAAAGAAATGCCATCCCTGTAGATCACAGGTATGAAATTTGCAGACATATTAAATATTTGTCAAGTACTTGTTAAAGATCTACTACCTATATATAGCTTCTCTAAAATTATAGGTTAAAAAAGAAAGAAAAATGTATCACCCTTCAAAACCTGACAATGAAGTTGGTGAGTCAAGGAATATTCCTTATGGCCATTATGAAATTAGGCTGCTTTTCAGGGGTTTATGTTAAATAATCCTGGTACTTAATAAGTATTTCTACAAAAATATTATTTGGGTGTACAGAATATGGAAATACAGAATATACAGTTAAGTAATTTTGTTCCAAAGGGTTAAAAAGAGTGGACAAAAAAAAAGGGATCTTAACTCACCACTTTTAGGACTCAATGAAAATGAGTAACTCAGAATAAGGAACAATCTTCTGATCCTTAGTAAAGTTAAAAGGAACACTAGAAATGGAAGACATACGAAGTCATCTTCTACATGAGAAAGTCTCTGACAAGGATACAATATAGGAGATGTGCAAAGGAATGTCCTGGGTCCATGAAGCTTTAAACTAATAACTAATTTGTCTTGGAAAAGAAGTCCTAATAGAAATTGCTGAGTATATTCCAGGATGGCATGGCAGGTTTTACTCAATGAGGCAACAGATCATGTGTTGATTGTCAAAGCTTTTGACTACATTATATATGGTGAGCTCATCAATAAACTATAAGCCCTTGTCCAGAACATAAAACTAATGAACCAGACACAGAAGACAAAGCTCAAAGGGTTACTGTCAGCTTAGGAGAACATAATAAACTCCATGCTATTTAATAATTTCATCCATAAGCTGAATGATAAATAGAGAAGTATCTCATTAATGAGATGCAAAAAGTTGGTGTTTGAAAGCTGCCAAGATCTTGGAGGATAAGATCAAAAGTCAAAGCAATTTGGGATAAACAGAAGGAGGGATTGGACTTCCAAAACTGATGATCAAAGGAGGAAATATAGTCTTTTGTCGACGGAAAGATGCAGAAAAGTCAAGCATGTACCAAAATGATGAGGAGATCCTGAGAAACAGTGTTTGACAAGCTGACCATGCATTCAACTTACACCAGCTTAAAAATGAACAAAATATTGGCCAACTGAATATAGTAATTTTGAATCATTTTTTTAAAAATTTGTTATTGTTATGTTAATCACCATACATTACATCATTAGTTTTTGATGTAGTGTTCCATGATTCATTGTTTCTTTATAACACCCAGTGCTCCATGCAGAACGTGCCCTCTTTAATACCCATCACCAGGCTAACCCATCCTCCCAACCCCCTCCCCTCTAGAACCCTCAGTTTGTTTTTCAGAGTCTATCATCTCTCATGGTTCGTCTCCCCCTCCGATTTCCGCCCCTTCATTCTTCCCCTCCTGCTATCTTCTTCCTTTTTTTTCTTTTTAACATATATTGTATTATTCATATGACTTCACTGATATGAGGAATTCTTAATCTCAGGAAACAAACAGGGTTGCTGGAGTGGTGGGGGGTGGGACGGATGGGGTGGCTGGGTGACAGACATTGGGGAGGGTATGTGCTATGATGAGCGCTGTGAATTGTGCAAGACTGTTGAATCACAGATCTGTACCTCTGAAACAAATGGATCATTTTCTGATTAAGGTCAGACAACAGTTTTAAGATCTGTTTTTTAAATGTTGATCAATAAATGGATTTGCAAGCGAATTCTTAATGAAAAACAGTTAAGAAAGACTGAGATTATTCAGTCTATATAGATAACATTTAGTACATAAGGTATCCAGGGAGATACTTTTATAAAATGTTTCTTCTTGATCAACGGACCCTGAAGAGCTTCTTGATCTCTTTCTAAGGGTCTGTGGACCAATGTGCTAGCATTGTTGCAAAATTGAGAAACAATCAAAAACTAAGTATGGATAGAAGACTTTTGCCAAGAGTGAGGGTCATCAAGGCTCAAAACAGACCTATAAAGAGGGAAATTAGAATATCTTTTTTCTTTTCTCAGGATTTCTATAAAAGAGAGATACTTCTTTATATGGGATTTTCACTTTCTGGACAAAACAGAGAACCAGTGGCTTATGCTCTCTCAAAATCATTCCACTTCTGAAGTTTTATGAGTTATTCTGTTTTTTTTAATGACTTTTCCCAATTCAGCATGTCTACATTTGGCTTTCCTCATCAGCAGGATTCTACTCCTGTGGGTTCTCTTTGAAAAGGTCTACATTTAATGGTTTTAGAAAAGTTGTAGCTTGTATCTGACATGTGCAAGCTCTCAGCTTTTGCTTAAACATGAATGCATCTTAATGCAGTCACTTGTAGGTGGTAACTTCTCTGAACACCTTAACATCCAAGGATCCCTAGAAGGGAGTATCTATGGTTGAGAACTCAGCAGTATTCATAGGAGCCAAGGAATGGAAAACTATGACTGGCAGACTCTTAGGGAAAAGGGTTGATTGCTTCTCCAGCAATTAATTTACTGCAATGCACGCTCCTTCTATCAACCCAGAGCCCACCCAGCAACAGACACAAATATTCACAAAGCTGTTTGTCTTTTGTCCAACTGCTGGCTTGAGTAGTAAATCAAGTCATGCAGTTTATTTCAAGTTTGTGATTTTTGTTTCTACTTTTTTTTAAAGCAGCTAAACTTTATATAGGCACACCATTTACCCTGCTAAATTATAGCTTCCTCTTCTTTCAGGCACTGGTTAGGGAGTAACCACCTCCCTTCCTCTCTACCGCTTCTGGATTTAAGTATGGGGTTAGATTATTTTTCCTCCAGGAGAGATGAAATGTCAGAAGCACCGTGGCAGGGGCCAGATCTACTTTTGCATAATATAAAGGGCAAGATGCAGGTGTTTGCGCACTGTTTGAATAACAGTGTTTCCTGAAAGTTACCGGGCCACGGCAATATATTATCCAAGAGTATTTATGGCTACGAAAGCCCAAAGGGAAATCTCATGCACAATCACATTTTTATTTGATTGCAATTATGCAAGAGGCCTATAAATATCTATGCTGATCGTTCAGGCAACTGGCCTTTTCAGGGAGGTCCTGCAAGTTTTGTTCCCAAAATACCTTAATCTCATGTTTAATTGCCAACAAGAGCACATTTAAAGTTGAGGGTCGCACTTGACAAATGAGTCACTGGTTCTTACCTAAAATTGACCACTCGCAAAAGGACCATGCCAGACTTACCCCAGATTAAAATGATGTACCGGAGTGGAATAAAATACAAAACGATGGTGGTCACTGCCAGGATCAAACAGGCCAGGAACGAGAGGAACGGGACCGTCCAGTTAAACGTGCTGCAGACAAAGCACATCACTATCATTCTCTCTGATGCTCTACAGCACCTACCAGTTCATCTTGCCATGTTTATTTCTTAGTTACACAAATGAAAAAGGTCTACTGGAGAAGTCCCTTTAACAACCTGGAGAGAAAGCTCTGCCAAGCTGGGGATGGCACAAACATCACTGAGGTCCTGAGGAGCAGGTCCCAAGACCAACTGCCAGCCAGCTTGTCAGAGTCCTGGTGACTTTGCCTTCCTGGAACCGACAGTCTTTAAGGGAAGACTCTGGCTCCCATAAGCGATGAAAGACTACAGTGTGGTCAGGATGGCTCCATGCATGGAGATCTTCAAAACAAAAGGTTAGTGATGTCACTTCAAAGTCAACAATTCTCTCCATGAAGACATGGTTGCCAGTGAATATTTAGAAAAGGGAGTACATTATTAAGGTGCTCTGGTGCTTTTTTTGTTTTCTCTTTTTTTCTTTTTGAGAGAGAGAGTGCACAAGGTAGGGGGAGGGTGGAAGGGCAGAGGGAGAGGGAGAGAGAGAGAATCTCAAGCAGGCTCCACGCTCAGTGCAGAGCCCCACACGGGGCTCCATCTCAAGACTTTGTGATCATGACCTGAGCCAAAATCAAGAGTCCAACACTTAACTGACTGAGCCACCAAGGCACCCCAACTTCTGTGTTTTCTGATAACTTCTTTTTAGAATTTTCGGACTCATTGACTCTAGAAGGTTGAGTGCCCTGAAAAGGGCTGGAGGCATTTGACTGTAAACCATTAGGCCACCAACCCATAGATAACAGGTTATGTGACCACATGTTATGTTCACGGGGCCCCTGGCTCCTTTCAGCATATCCACTGCCTCCTTTGACTTGTGTGCAAATGAAGATCTGGAACATGGGATGTAGAATTGAACAAATAGTGGAAATCTTTGCATGGTCCTAGAAAATGATCTGTAGATCCCATGTTCTGCAGAGAACCCATGAGAGCCTAGGGTCCTTCTTCTTCCCAGTCTTTATTTTCATTTACTTGGTTGTCTATTGACCCTTGACTTTGTGGCTAGGAACACAAAGAGATAAAAGATTTGTCTCTCAGTCTTTGTTTTTTTTGTGTGTGTGTGTGTGTGTTTTTAATGCATATGTGTGCGGGGAGATAGTGGGGGATGTGGGGGGACTAACCTATATCAGCTGCTAGGCACTTAATATGTGCCATTGTGCTAATATTTTTCATATCATTATTGTGATGGTCACCATAATTCTTCCAAGTAAAGATTATCCCCATTTTACACATAAGCAAATTGAGGCTGAGAGAGATTTTGTTTTATTTTGTAAATAACCACAATTCCATGAAGAGTCTAAGAAAAACCCAGTCATCTCACCCTCTTGTAATAGACTGTTATCAGTGTTTTTAATCTTTGCCCATAGAGAGGTACGTGTGTTTTTAATTTCTCACTTTTTAAAATTATAAGCAAATTTAAACACCTTTTAATAGGCATGCTCATCATTTTAGTTTGTTTCTCAAGTGATTTCTAGTTTATTTCTTTGTGAGGTGTCACTATTTGGGAAAGTGCTTAAGAAAACGGAATTTTAAGCATACTGACATTGGATTGAGTTTGGGTTCCATCTCTAATAAGCTACAGGAAAGTGATTTAATCATTCTGCACCAACATTTCTGCTCTGCAAAATGTGAATAATAATAGTACCTCTATCTTCTGCCAGAATCAAATAAGAACTTGCATTTAAGGTAGCTAGCACATTCTGTTTTTAGCACATTGTAAAAACTCAGAAAATGGAAAGCAGTTATGATTTGTCTATTGTGCCTTGAGCTGTTTTTGCTTGACTTTTTCCTCAGTAACCTAAAATATCTCTTTGGATACTAAAGAAATCAGTCCTTGGTCATATTCTTTACAGTGCTTTTCGCAATGTGTTCCTTTCTTGTCTTTTTTTGTCCGGTTTATGTATTTTTAAATATAAAATTATTTATGTTACATGACCAAATTTATCAATTTTTTTTTCCTGGTTAATTTCTAGATTTGGTAGCACTTACCAAAGACTTCCCCAGTCCAGCAACTTGACACCAACAAACTGAATAATTGATATTTTTCCCACTCTTTCCTCATGCCTATTTCTATGCTATTCTAAATTTATACATATACATTGGTCCATTTCTGACTACTCTTTTCCATAGTAAAACTTCTAGTTGAACTTTCTGGAGGGCGATTTCACATTTGGAGAAATGCTGTATGGATTCCCTAATGCTCCAGATTATGCCATGGCAGGAAGTTTAGCCTACAGATCTCCTTGCACAAGGATGCAGGGGCAGGGCATGAATACCACAGTAATGGTTGCTAGTTCTTAAAAAAGGAAATAGCTTCAGTATCATTAATAGCACAATATCTAAATAAAGGGAAAAATCTAAATCGATTTCTACTCTGTAGTATTATGCAGATTTTTGTTTTGTTCAATTCAGCATTTATTAAGCATCTACTATGTACACAGAGTTAGATAACCTTTATTCTGATCTTTTTTTCTTAGCATAAAGTTGCAGCTATATCTATCTTTAAAAAACAATGAGATCATAAAAAGGACAACCACACAAACACCCCTGCCCCCCAACACAGAGGTTCAAAGCTATATACAGTGAAAAAATAAATTGCATAAATAAATGTGGGTACTGTATATATATATATATATATATGCATATGCATGCATATGTTAATAAATTTACAGATGCACAAATATCACATATATAGATTTTTATCCTGAAAAAAACCTCTGATGGATATACAACAAGTTGTTAATGGTAGTTCAATATGATGGAAAGAAGGGGAAGAAAAGGAAGTATAGAGAATAAAGGGGGAATTCTGTTTGATTACTTTTATAATGGATGTGTACCATATTTATAATAAAAATAAAAACAAGATATGGAATCAATTACAATTAAATAAGTAAACACAAACATCAACCTTTATGCCTTAATTTTTTTGTTTGTTTTGTTTTTTGAAAGCAGAGACACAGTAGCAGATTCTGGATACAAATCAATGGATAGATACCATAGATTAAGAAGGATCCTGACTGGGACGACAATAAAAGTTAACAATTTATATTAGGCTGCGGTGAGTCATGCTGTAAACTTCAGGGTAACAACTAAAAGAACAGCAAAAGAGTCCTTACATTCTGAGCAAATAGATAAAAACTACAGATGAGAAAAAAAAAAAAACCACTCAGAACAAGGACAAAGAAAACAATAAAAACTACAAATTTAAATCGAAATATATTAGTAACCACATTAAATTTGAATGGACCACATGGTACAATTAAAAGACAGTGATTGTCAGAAACAAGAAAGAGATCTAAAACACAGACAGGTTGAAAGAAAATAATAGGAAAGTATATACTATGAAGAAACCAGCAAGCAGGAGATGGTATAGTCGTATTATTACTAGTTAAGATATTAAGGCAAAATTTCATTTATTGCTTAGATATAAGTAGGTCACCTCCTATTAATGATCCAATTCACCTGGAAAGTATAACAATTTTAATATGTACAACCCAGGGGCACTTGGGTGGCTCAGTCGGTTAAGCATCTGACTCTTGATTTCGGCTCAGGTCATAATCTCAGGGTTGTAAGATCAAGTCCCATGTTGGGCTCTGTGCTCAGCGCAGAGTCTGCTTGAGATTCTCTCTGCCCTTCCTCCCTGCTCACTCGCTCTCCTTAAATAAATAAAATCTTTAAAATAAAAGATACAACCCAAATAACATAGCTTTGGAATACAGAAAGCAAAAACTGACCAAGCTACAAGGAGATATAGATAAATCCACAGTGGAAAGTTTTGTTGTTGTTGTTGTTTTTTAAGATTTTATTTATTTATTCGACAGGGAGAGAGAGCAGGAACACAAGCAGGGGGACTGGGAGAGGGAGAAGCAGGCTTCCTGCCGAGCAGGGAGCCGGATGTGGGGCTCGATCCTAGGACCCTGGGATCGTGACCTAAGCCAAAAGCAGATGCCTAACGACTGAGCCACCCAGGTGTCCCCACAGTGGAAAGTTTTAATATACATCTCTAAGTAACTGATACAAGAAGTCACCAAAAATAAAAATCAGTATAAATACAAAAGATTGAACACAATCAACAAAATTAATCAATGCATACATATATGCATATATACACACACATACACATACACACACACACAATACACTCAGTAACCTTTCCAAGCTCACAGGGAGAGACAGAAGTAGGCCATTTTCTTGATCAGTGTTTTCTGACCATAAAGCAATTAAGTTAGAAATTGGGAACAAAAAGATAACCAGAAAATCTCCATATACTTGGAAATTAAGCAATATATTTCTTTGCCAAGGAAGAAATAAAAATAGAAAATAAAAAGTTTTTACTAAACTTGAATGATAATGAAAATATCAACACCAAAATATCTGGCCTGGAGCTAAAGTTATGCTTACAGGCAGTTGTAGAGCTTTAAATGTTCGGAAAAGAGAATAATTGTAATCCACTGATCTATCTTAAAGAGTTAGAAAAAAAAATACTAAATTAATCCCAAGGAAAGTAAAAGGAAGAAAGGAAAAAAAAATAAAGAGTACTAGTAATTAATGAAAAAGAAAACAGGTAGCAGGGAAGATTAACAAAGGTCAATGACGGTTCTTTCTAAAGACTAACATAATTAATAAATCCCCATCAAGAAAGAAGGGAAAACACAATTAACATCAAGCATAGAGGTGCCTGGGTGGCTCAGTCTGTTAAGCAGCCGACTCTTTTTTTTTTTCCTAGAAAGTCTTTGTCTGTTACGAATAATTGTTTTTTGTGGTTATCCCAAATGACTTTATAAATTTCATAATTGTGTTACTATTTCTGATTAAAGGTAAGCAGCCAACTCTTGATTTTGGCTCAGGTCATGATCTCAGAGTTGCGAGAATGAGCCCCACGTCGGGTTCCGTGCTATGCATGGAGCCTGCTTAAGACTTTCTCTCTCTCCCTCTGCCCACCTCCCCCTTTAAAAAAAA